CTGCTCACCTCTCACGTTCTTATGGCGGGGGGTGGGGGGTGATCTCAGAAAAGAATCTAGAAAAGTAGGGGAAATGTGTTTCCTCCCCTTCACAAACACTGGCGGGAAGGGCAAAATCTGAGTTCAGTACATGCGCTTTCCCCACATCCTTAGAGCACATGACCTTGCATCTTCTCTACTGCTACCTTTTTGAGTTCATTCCTTCTCTGGTTTCTCAGTGTCCTGTCTGGGGTGATTGGCACATTTCACATGTTCTTCTTTGACTCTGTTTCCAAGGTGGCCCTAGTGGTAAAGAACCCACCTGTCAATGAAGGAGACATAGGAGACATGGGTTCAATCCCTGGGTTGGGAAGATCCCCTGGAGGAGGACATGGCAATTCACTCCAGTATTCCTGCCTGGAGAATCCCATGGACAGAGGAGCCTGGCGGGCTATAGTCCAGAGGGTCGCAAAGAATCAGACACGACTGAAGTGACTTAGCACCAGCACACAGACTCAAGCAGAGTCACAGGTACAGGAGCAGTTTAGTTCTCAGTAAACCTGTGTTAACTGCAAGGCCCAGGTCAGATCACACCCACGGCACTCCTCTAACTGAGACCGAGTGGGGCTCTGTGGGGCTGCCAGACATAGAGGCCCTTTTGTCCCCCATTTCTTCAGCCTCCATGCTGTCCCTGAGTTCCAAAGGGCAGACTGAAACAGTTGCTAATCAAAGGAGGAACAGACATGAAACCACCTCCTGAGGCAACATTATAGGGACCAGAGAAGTTGATGGAGATTCAGTTCAGTTCAGTTCAGTACGACACTTTGCGACCCCATGGACTGCAGCACCCTGGGCTTCCCTGTTCATCACCAGCTCCTAGAGCTTGCACAAACTCATGTCCATATAGTTGGTGATGCCATCCAACCATCTCATCCTCTGTCATCTCCTTCTCTTCCTGCCTTCAATCTTTCCCAGCATCAGAGTCTTTTCCAGTGAGTCAGTTCTTCACATCAGGTGGCTAAAGTATTGCAGTTTCAGCTTCAGCATCAGTCCTTCCAATGAATATTCAGAACTGATCTCCTTTAGGATGGACTGGTTGGATCTCCTTGCAGTCCAAGGGACTCTCAAGAGTCTTCTCCAACACTACAGTTCAAAAGCATCAGTTCTTCGGCACTCAGCTTTCTTTATAGTCCATATCTCACACCCATACATGACTCCTGGAAAAACCAGAGCTTTGACTAAATGGACCTTTGTTGGCAAAGTAACGTATCTGCTTTTAATATGCTGTCTATGATGATCATAGCTTTTCTCCCAAGGAGCAAGCTCTTTTCATTTCATGGCTGCAATCACCATCTGCAGTGATTTTGGAGCCCAAGAAAATGAAGTCTGTCACAGTTTCCCTTGTTTCCCCATTATTTGCCATGAAGTGATGTGACTGGATGCCATGATGTTAGTTTTTTGAATGTTGAGTTTTAAGTCAGCTTTTTCACTTTCCTCTTTCACTTTCATCAAGAGGCTCTTTAGTTCCTCTTTGCTTTCTGCCATAAGGGAGATTAGACCAACCTGAGACCCTGCACACACCCTCATCTTATCAGCAACCCTACCCTTGGAGTCCACCAAACCCAGTGTTGTGACAGTTGTGAAACTTTGCAGCAGAAAGAAGAATGCAATACTATTACTGCCTTGATCCTTATCACCTACCCCCAACTCCAAGTCCTGACTATATAACCTCCCCCTACTCCCCGGGGTGGGGTGGGGCACAGTTATTGAGGTGCTAGCCTACAGTGTTTCCTTTTTGCCTGACAAGGAAATAAAATCACTCTACCTTTCTCCTCCGTAACTCTGTCTCTGAATTTCTGTTCAGGGTCAGTGCATAGAGATCCCTCACCTGCTAGACAGGAGACGGTGTGACTCCATCAGGCCCTTGGAGTCCTTGTGGGAGATTCTGAGAGAGCTACATCTGCATGTGCTCAGCACACCATGGGGTGTTTTGAGAACCAGCAGATGCAGGGGGAAGCTCTAAGAGTGGGGCATAGGGTCTTCTTTTGAGAAGGAAATTATTTTGACAAATAGAATGTACATGTGCAGAGAAGTCTCTGGCTCTTGTGCCGAGGATGCTCCCCAAACCCTTCTCAGAGAAAAGGAGCGGGGTTAAACCAGCACAGTACCAATGCTGTGTATAAAGCAGATGCCTGGCGAGAACCTACTGCACAGCCCAGGGCACCCGCTGAGGGCTCTGTGGGGACCTGCATGGAGGGAAGTCCAAAGCAGAGGGATTCATGTACACTTGTAGCTGTTGCACTTTGCTGACATTATAAAACAGCTATGTTCCTATAAATGCTTTAAAAGAGAAATAAATCAACACACAAACTTCACTCAACGACCCTCATGAACCACAGGTTTCCTGGTCTTCTTCCCACTGCTGCCTCTCTTCCTAGAATCCTGAACCCCTTTCTCCCTTGTTTTAGCTTCAGAAGGTACCTAACCCCCCGAGTTCTAGCCACTCCTGTGAGTGACTCTCGTCTGGGTTCTCCCAGGCGTCTGTGCCCGTGAGACGTGTGCACTAGCTCTCCTCTTGATGAGCTGTCACTGGTGGGTCCCATCACCTGCTGGAGAACCTCAGATGACACAAAAAACTGTGGCTTGGATGACTGTGTAACTATGGGGGTGTTGCCAGTATATGTGGGTGGGCAGGAGAAGTGCGAAGAGGAGGAGACTCGGGGAGAGCTGGAGGAGATGATTCCTCCACACTGCTTCTCAGAAAATGGGAGCTGGAGGGGTCAGTAAAATTAAACATAAGTAGGGGTGTGTGTGTGAGAGAGAGAGGAGCTTGAGTGTATTTAAACTCAAAGGAGAAAGAGAAACAGCCCCTGGAAAAGCAATGAAGGGAAGATAATTCCTACCTGGAGAAAAGTGAAAGTATTAGTCAGTCATATCTGACTCTTTGGGATCCCATGAACTGTAGCCACCAGGCTCCTCTGTCCATGGAATTTTCCAGGCAATAATACTGGAGTGGGTTGCCATGCCCTCCTCCAGGGCATCTTCTCGAGCCAGGGATCAAAGCCCTGTTTCCTGCATTTCAGGCAAATTCTTCACCACCTAAGCCATGAGGGAAGCCCCAATTCCTACCTTAAAAGCCCTGGAAAGAGTAGAAAGAAACATTTTAGAGCCTAGTGCATGGGAGGGGTTGCCTGCAAGGAAGGGATCATTCTCTTGTCTCCAAAAGGAGGAAGAGCAGCGGTGTAGGCAGATCTCTGTGCTGGCCTGGGAAACTGTGTCTCTCCACTGTTCGCTGTGTACGTGGGCACACACACCAGCCTTCCAGTGGGACTTGACACCCTTGCTGAGACACAGGGGGCTCCAGGTGAGAAGGAATGAGAGACACAGGTGGACGCAGAGAAATCCAGGCAAGGTCTCCTGTCTCATTCCTTATGCTGTATCACCCTGCTGTTTTTTCCCCCTGCCTGGATTCCTATTTTAAGACACCCAAATTCTGGAAATGTAAATTTATACTATAAGTAACAACTGAAGTAACAAGGTCTGAAAGTTCAACATAAAATGCCATCCTCTTTTAGTAATGAAATATTAAATATTTTCCAGGGCACTCTATAAAATTAAAGAAATCAAGTGATTTCACCATGTTAAAAAAAGACTCCATTTTTGACATTTTTTTTAATTTCATTTGAATTAACAACACTGAAGAAAAGGCCAGATAAATTATTGTGTATGAAATGAAAACTTTGAACTTTTTCACATGTCAGAAATGCTTTGATGATGGTAGATTCTAACTTTTATTAGAGATCTCATATTTTGATGGTTTAAGAACACATAAAGTTCATTCCCTCCCTATCTTTCTCCTTTCCTCTCCCCAGGCATAACTTGAATGGTACATAAAGTCATTACTTTGAGCTGAGAGAAAGCTTAAATGCATGAGATACAGGGTCAGACCCACTTCCCTTGTGGACATGAGGCAGGAGATAGATGGGCTCCAGCTTAGATGTTACAGTCAGCCTCCTCTTTCCATTTCCAGATGCAATAGCAGCAGGAACAGGGCAAATGCTGGACTTTGCTCCAGTGGACACTTAAGACAACAGTCACAGTGGAGACAGAGGGGAGCTGAGCCCTGCCCAAAAGGGAGAAGGAGAGACTACACATTCCTCCTTCTTGAGGCCGAGACCTTCCTGACTACATCGGTGCAGAAAAGGCCCCCCAGTGGTCAAAAGAAAGGGGGCCCCACCCCACAGCAGGTGATGCCTACCTACCCATAGGCCTCTGCACTGGAACCCATCTTGGCTAAGAGATGCACACACACAGGGGAGGACCCTGAGATGCTCCAGACATGGACTCAGAGCCAGGCGGAGCAGGTGATCGGCCAGAGGAAGCCAGAAGAAAGGCCCGTGTAGGTGATTCAGACCACCCAAGGGCGTGAGTCCTTCTCTGAGCCCACCCAGTGTCTATCCACACATACTCCTTTTCCTCCTAGGACCCTTTACATGTTTCACTATTTCTGTCTCTTTGTGGACATTTATTTCTACAAAACCAACAAGCCAGGGCTTTGTCACTGCCCTGAGTGGTCTAGTGGCCAGGATTCAGCACTCTCACTGCTGTGGCCTGACCTCAGTCTTGGGCTGGGAACTGAAATCCTGCTGTGAGCTGCTGCAGGTGGAGGCCCCCCAAGATCATACAGACTCCTTGTACCATAGTCCTGAAGGGATAACACCTGCGTGTGGCCAAGAGGACACGGACACAGGTGACCAGGTGATGTGACGATGGGGCTAAGAGGATCCCAGGCGGTGATGTGGCCACTGGAGGGAGATAGAAGAGACCCCGGAAGCAGGGCCTGACCTGCTCCTGGCACTGGGTCCTGACCTGTGTGAAGCCCGGCGGAGACTCCATTCCCACCAGAAAGCCATGCTCCACTCTGGACTCTCCAGTTGGGCGAGACTTTAACCAGCTTGGATGTTCACGCTTCCACACGATTTAAGTCTCAGACACATCCCCAGGTGTGGCAGGACTCTTACCTTGGTAAGTGAGCTTAAACCCCGGCCGGTTCTGCGAGTGGTCGCTGTAGAAGTGGATGAGCGTCTCGTGAGTGGTGCTCAGCAGGGCGCTGGGCAGGTCGGGGCCGCTGAACTGCCCGATCATCGGGCTGGTGTGATAAGGGCCATTTTGAATTTCAAGGTAATCATGATTAGCTTCAGTAGAAAAATTCAGAAATTGAATATGTGCACCTATGAAAAAAATAGGCAACAGTGGTGAATTCTGGTATCAAAAGTTTTGATAATGCTTATCAACAGAGATTAAAATCACATTAGTTTCCTCCAACAATATCTCTCTAGGAGGCAGAGTGGAGGAACATGTACATTGTGAATTACAACAAGCCTTACTTTGGTTTCACCTCTGCTGCCCACCAGCTATGTGACCTTTGTCCTTGTAGTGAATGCTCCTAAATCATTTTGTGTGTGTGTGTGTGAAATATAGACACTATTGGCACTGCATCACAGAGGCATGCAGGTGTAATTCTCAGAATGGCGACTTATATCCACACACATGGCAGGGATTCTTGTCCAGATGCTCTTAAAATCTTTACAGTCAAAAACATAAGGTTGTAACTGTCAGTCAATTTTCAACTTTATCAAGGAAGAAGACAATATAGATCTAACAAAACACAACAAACTTTAGAAGTGGCTTTTAAGTGGATGCTCATACCATTGCACAAGAAATTTCTCAGTTTGAAAACTGTTTTGACTGTGTAGTGCCTGCAATGCAAATTACTGATGTTTTTGCAAGAAACCCACTCTGATAAATGCCACTCTGACTCTCACAGCTGAATCTATTTTAACAAGAGGCCAAGGCTGTCCAAAGGACCCACGTTGCTAGTATAATACTGATCAGTATACCAGATAAGCTACTGTTGATAATTTAGAAGAGAAGCAAAATAACTTAAGAGTTATTTGCTATGGTATTGTGGCATGTTTGAAAATTTGACTATTGTGCTTGAAATACTTCTTAATTCACTTGAAAGTTTATTCAGAATGCCAAAGACATTAGTTTTCACATAAATCAAGGCAATTAAATTAGGTTTATAAAGTCTAATAAAGAAAACCAACAGCTATTGTGGATCATTCTCTCAGCATGTGAGGAAAGCTTTATTTTGTGTTATTCTTCTCTTTACATATACATAAAGCTCTTTTTATCCATCTATCCATATATATAAAGCTCTTTTTATCTATCAAGATATATATATATATATATATATATATATATGATACATTCCCTAGGTTTTAGGAAATTAAAGATATTGTTATATAAAAGATCATGTTTGCAAGGGTTACCTTACGTAGGTATAAATGCTGAGAAAATGTAAAGCCAACATATCTACTTAGTATTGATGGAAAACATAGGTAACAAAAGCTGAAGTCAGTCAAAAAAAAAAGGAGAGGAGAAGAAGAAGAAAAGCTCATGCAAAGAGTAATAGGGAAGAGCAACCTAAAGCCACTCAATAAGTTTTAAAATTATCCAAGAAACACAATTTTATCAATTATGGAGAAAACTTTGTTAGGAAGAACAAAAGCGTGAATAATGGTCTTTCTGGTTGGACACAGCGTAAGTCCATTATCACGCTCAGGGTTCAGTTTACCAAGGTGACCACGGTTATTACCATCATTTCACAGGTGAACAGAATAAGGTACAGGAAGGCTGGGTATGATGTCCCAGGTAACACAGCAAGAGGCAGAGTTAGACTGACACCAATTCTGATGGACAGAGAACTCGTGTTCTCTGGTTTAGCATGGAAACATGCTAGACAAAAGCTAACCATCTCATGATGTTAAGCATATTACAAATTTTTGGAGAAAATTATTTTGTATTAACATTTTTACCCTAGTATGATAGAGAAAATTGGAAGGAAGCAGAAGGCAGAATATTTCAGGAAGAGACTCAAAAAGTAAAAAGCAGAAGGAAGACTTTCAGTGAAAGGTTTTTAATAAGACAACGAAACCTGGGTCATTTTTAGAACGAGCAACTCAGTTTGTATCACACAGTCCAAGCGTATGTACAACAACACATGAGCAGGGAGGGAAGGAAGAGGCTGGCCTGGGGCTGGCCTGACTGTTCTAATGCCAGGCATCACAGATGACCGACATGCAACCAAGCTCTATATCTAAAACATTTCTGTAAATATGAAAAATGTCAAGCATGTCTCTGTTGGAGAGACCTACATAAGCTAATTCATTTTCTTTCTAAATCCCAGTAAATACAATCAGTTGAAAGAAATTTGGAAGCAAGGAAAGAAGAAAGAAAGAGGGAGGGAATGAAAGAGACAGGTAAAGAAAGAAAGAGAGAGGGAGAGGGAGAAAGTAAAGAAGGAGGAAGGCAGGCAGGAAGGAGAGAAGGCAAGACCAATGACTCCTAGCCCCTCCTTCTCACCCGTCCCCTCTCTGGACCTGCTGTGAGAGCTGAGCCACTTGACCAGTCTGTAAGCCACAGGTCTGTTCGTATCTGATCTATTCCCTTACTTACCGTTGAACTAAAAACAGTTTGTTTTTATAGCCTGGCCCAAAATCTGACAATAAAGAGGTTTTTGTTTTTGTTTTTTGACTAATTAATAAACTATACTAATGGATTAAAAAAAATTTTTTTGGTGGCCAAAAATATTTTTGGTGATACCAAAAAATATTTTGGTATCAAGGCCCAGAACCCCTATGGTCCAGAGAGTTTCACAAACACCCATCACATTCTTCATGGGAGGAAGAACACAGAAGCCAACATAAGAACAATAAAAAACAAATGATGAATTACTGAAATTTCTATTTTTCATCCCAAAACTATGAGATGGGATGTGAAACTAGGGCAAGATTAGAACACTTAAAATACTTATTCCCTTTTTGGGTATAAAATCAAATGGCAGGGAAACAGCTTAAAACAGTCTCATTTCAGATGTGCATAGGCAGATGTCAGATGAATTCATCCAGAGATACATTTGAAATTCACAGAGCAGCCCGGTCGAGAAAGAAATGAGAGACAGCAAGCAGATCAAGGGGCACAAAAACCCTAAAAGATGGCCAATATCTCCAAAGTAAAGGACATAGTGAAAGTGGCCTTTCGCTGATTTGGGATTAATCTTGAAATGGAAATGGAATTATGCAAATTATAATTTTATGAAAAATTAACATATTAAGCAGGATAAAGTATCCAGCCACATATCAAATCACCTAATATGTATCAGGAAAGAGAACTGAGCCCAGCTCTAATCTGGTTTGGAAAGGAATTTTTAGCTATCTAATTTTCAGCAAATTGTATCCAGTTTGACATCATGAAGCCAAAATGAAGGGATTAAAATAAGCGTAACCTAGTTATCCTTTTATTATCTCATAGAATACCAAAAATGTGTTATTGCAACAAGAAAACCAATCTGAATGCCCATCTAGGGTGAAATTTATACTGACTGTCATTACACATTGGAAATTAAGTGTCAGGAAAAGGCATCTGCAGAAAGGATTTTGAATCTGGACTTGACAAAACTTTGAATACATAAGCTGACCAATAGCTTCAGAGTTAAACTCTTGTCTCTTAGTTGACAGACCCTGTGGACAGTAAGTATTCTACTGTACATCTTCTGTGCATAATAAACATATAGCAAATGAGTGAATAGTTTCAGAATTCAGAGAGAATATTCTAAAAGAGTCTTTTGTATCCTCCCTATGCCTCTAGACAGCCCAAAGGCATAGCCAATTCTGACCCCACAGTGTGTGATGTAAGTGCAAGGGTTTCAAATGTAAAAGGTAAAGCAGAAAAAAAAAAACTTGATTTAATCTCTGTTAACTATGCTTTTAGAAACTTTCAAGAAAACAGAGAGAAATTCTGTGTTGATTGGGCTCATACTCAAAGCCACACAAAACAGCAACCCAAATTTGTGGAAAGGAAAGGAAACAAAACAACATTAGAGCATTTGGCCTAGTATTGAACAATAGTGAATAGTCAGGTAATGCCTTCTCCATGTCAGGCATTGCTTCAGAGCAGCTGTAGGAGAACAATATTTTATGGTGTTCATTTTAAAGATAAGGAACAAAAGTTCCAAAGCATGTCCGTAACTTGCAAATTCATACCAGCAGTCACTGGCAGAACTAGGATTTCTACTCATCTACACTCAAGAGCCCAAAGACATGAGGGACCACCATGTACCATGCCCGCCCCTCAGATGGAGTCCAGTGACTGCATGCTTGCAACAGAGCTGGGCCCTATGGTCCTTTACTTCCCATGTCCTCAGCCTGCCTTTTGTCTGGGGAAAAACCTTAGCCAATGAGTAAGTTTAATCAGAGAACTGAGAAAATGCAGTAACAAAGGAAAACAGTCAAAAGAGGCCAAATAATAATAATGATAATAATAATAAAATGCTCTCACTAAGCATAGTCAAGAACTTTTAGTTCTGTCTCATAGGCTATAAGTAATAATCTGAACCGTGTCCTGCGAGCTGCGTTACAGACACTGAAAGCCCCCCAGCAGGTGAAGAAGTTAACTACAAGATGACCAGACTAGTCGTGACATGAGCTGCCACAGTTCTGAGAACTGGCCTCAAGGAAATGGGACAAACCAACACTGAAGCTGAAGACTGAAACTGTGCTTAAAACAATCAAGATGCTGGTCAGACCACCGATGACCAACTTGAAGAGGGCCGTCAGAGCTGGCTGTGCTGTTTCCACATGTAGCTCCCTCCCTCAGCCTAGGACAGCTCTTGTCCACTGGAGGGGAGTCAGACTTTGGACAGAGGTCCGCCCTCCCCATCGGATGCCGGCATCAAAATCAAGCAAACCTTCCTTCCCAACAACCTGGCCTCTTTACCAACTTTAGAGTGGGGAGCAGCTGGAACCCTGCTTTCGGTAACATGCTCTCACTGAGGCTGGATGCAGAAAGCAGTTGTCAGGGGGGTGAGTAATTAGCAAGTGGAGACGTAGGTGGGCTTTCATGTGATACCAGAGCGACAGGTCATTTTACATATATAATTAAGCTACTGGTCCACGGGTGTGGGAAAGAAGTAGGGTTAATCAGAAGAATTATGTGAGTGAGTTGGCTCCTGCTGAACAAGTGTGTCGGACATCTAACAGGCGGTCCCACGTATATTTGGTTGTGTGAAAAGACCAAAAATATTGCAACAAAATCTTCCACTGATGAAAAACATCTAATCTGCTTTTTCTTAAGAAAAAGCACTGCTGTCTCATATTCTGGATAAGTGTGTCTTTCGGGGCTGGGGGAATTGGAGATACCTGTACCATAATTATTAGCAAAATAGCCATTAATACTTAAGCAACCCAAACCAAAACTGACAATCCAGGAAACAGGAAAGCACATGCCTCTTTCCTGTTTTAAAATCTCATGTTTAGGAGTATATTTATAGATTACACAACTTGTCAGAAAAACCTAGTGTGGTACTTATATGTAATCTGTAGCAAATTGTTCTGAAGCATAACTCTCTATTCTAAAAAGATAGGGACAGTCATACTATTTTGCATGTATTTAGGACTTCAGGCATAAAGTTCCTTTTGGCTTATTCAATATGCTTTTTTAAGCCTAGTGCTGGGCAATATCATACATTTTAAAGACAAGTAATTTTAATCATAACATTCCATAATTCTTTTTAAAATTTCAACCTTTTTTGAAATAAATGGTTTCTTAGGCTCATAGATCATGATCATGAAGTCAGAAGATCCCTGTTCTTTTTTTCCTGAATTACTGTCTTGTGTACTGGTTTCTTAGTGAGGGAACAGTGAAAGGAAGCATGCCAACCAGCAGGCTTCTCACACCATGGAACAGTGAGGCTGGGAAAATAAACTAATGAAATGTACATATCCATTCATGAGTATAATGTTTCTAATGAGGTTTGAAAGGAAAGTGGGAAGGATTTGAAACAACAATTTAAAAACCAGCTTGTATTTGCTATTGTTATTTACAACACGCCAAGCCCTATACTAAATTTCTCGCCTGAACTGTTTCAGTGAATCCTCCATAACCCTGTATGGTCATTTCATTTTTAGAGATGAGGAAAGTGAGGTTCCTGGGGTTCACTCAGTTCAGTAGCCTATACTATCATTATTTTCCTAGTAAGTTTGTGGCCCTCAAGATGCTAAGGCCCTGTTGGAACCTCGCGGGTCAACTGTAGCTCCAATCTAGCCCCTGACATCTGACTCCAAACACAGAACCGACCCTGTCCAGATCTTGAGATCCTCAGGGTAAGAAAACAGACCAGGCTTTGAGGATGGCTGAGCCAACGTTGGTTAAAGTCAAAGGCCTCTGTTTGGCATAGCACGGGGCAGAATTACAGCCTCTCTGCTCAGAGAGTTCATTGTTTAAAAAATAAAATTTAAAAACGTGGAACAAATAGAGCACCTCTGTGACCCCTGTGAACTGTCCGCCCTTCCTTATGCCTCCACACTCTGGGGCCACTTCAGGGGTCATGGAGCTGAATCTCACATGTGCTCTCCCCAGTGGAGGCCTCTTTTCCTTCCACACCACTCCCTTACGCCCTCCCTCTTAGCTGCTCTCAGCTGAGCAGGTGGACCTCCCCCCTTTTCTCCTCCTGGCACAGACTCTTAAAGCAAGAGCTTTGAAAACTTAATTAAAATATATAACCTTCTTCCAGGGCAATGATTTCCATTTCTGCTTCTGTCCACCCATCATTCAGCTAACATTCACTTAGTGCATAAGTACTCAATAATATGGACATTCTGGGACATTCCCCGAGTATCTAATCTGGCACCCTCATCCAGTGTGTATTCTTTGGACAATTGCAGGTGGTGAATCCCAGGGACGGCGGAGCCTGGTGGGCTACCTGCCGTCTATGTGGTTGCACAGAGTCAGACACGACTGAAGCGACTTAGCAGCAGCAGCAGCAGCAGAAGCAGCAAGTGGGGAAAATCCAAATTAATGAACTAAAATATAAGGAAACCATGAGGCAGATGAGGAGAGGCATGACAGAGAATCAAAATTTCACAAAGACTGTGCATTTCTGAAGCAGGCCAGAATGGGATTTCAGTGTACGTAACAATTAAAATTACAAATTATTATTATAATTATTATTTATAATAATATTTATTGAATAATTATTGAATTATTATTTCAAATAACAGAAAGTTATTTGAAAAGTCAGTTTGCACAGAGTCCAAAAGTCTGTGCAACTTTGTTCTCAAAGTTACTCTGCCAACACTTTATTTAAATCTGTAAGCCACATTCAGTTAAAGACACAGTTAGGTCAACAGAATAAGGCTCACTTTTTACTTAGTCTAATTCTTTCCTAGGAATATATTAAAAGTTGGATCTTGAGGAATTAAAAAACGTCATCACTCACCATAGCCTATGGGCAGGGAGATCTTCCAGGTGCAGTCCAGGTTGTTGGGGTAGGTGCCGGGGAACCCGGGGCTCAGGACCACTCCCCCCATGCTGCTCAAGGTGCCCCCGCAGGTCGCTGTTAGAATGACAAGTGGAGTGAGTGCCCTGGCGGGGGGCGGGGGTGGGGGGGCACGGCTTTCTAGGACAATTCACTCTCCCACCCCCAAGTGAGTGTGCTACCCAGAAGCAAGTCTTCAGAAATGCATTTGCCCCTAGCTTCAGCACATACATAAATGGGATGCCCTTTAGTTATTTCTGGATCTAGTCCTCCCTGCTGAGCATCCGTGGATTAAGAATAAAGACAGGTCTTCAGAGTTTATTTCCTTCTGGGCCACAGAGGCTCTCAGAACAGCTTGGTCAAGCTTACACATTTCGGGCAGGATCCTATGTCTTCCAGGTTCTGAGTGGCTGTACTGGTTACTACTTACTGATCGTTAGTCATGTGCTCACCTGTAGGCTGAGATAAACACACTTCGCTGCTTGATTCTCATCACAACCCTAAAGGGTGGGTGTTATTATCATCCCACTTTACAGACAAGGAAACCAGATATGAGGAGATTAAAGAATTTGTCTAAGGTTACACCCCTGACAAACAGCACAAGCGAAATTTTATTTCAGCTCCATCTGGTTCTAGAATCCAAGTTTCTTTGTTAGCTTTAAGATTTATTGTATTGATTTAATTTTTGGCTGCACTGAGTCTCAGTTGCAGCATGTGGGCCTTCTTGAGCTGTAGCGAGGGGCGGGGGCTACTCTTCGTTGCAGTGGTGGGCTTCTCATTGTGGCGGCTTCTCTTGCTGCAAAGCACAGGCCAGAGGGTGTGCAGGCTTCAGTGGCTGCAGCTCAGAGTGTGGGTTCAGTAGCTGTGGCACCGGGCTTAGCTGCCCTGCAGCAGGTGGGATCTTCCTGGAGCAGGGATCAAACCTGTGTTCCCTGCATTGGCAGGTGGGTTCTGAACCACTGGACTGCCAGGGAAGCCCCCTAGAATCCAAGTTTTAACCAGGATGTTACCTTCAGAATTCTTCCCAGCTTTGGAATGCAGCTAACTGAGACCACTTTCTCTGCAACCAATCTCACACTGTGAAGATGGGTGTGACTGTAAGTTCTCATTCCTGGACTTACCTTGGTTACGCATGTTTTACAATGTTAATGCTGAGGTTTGATAGTAAAGAAACATGATTGACTTTATAACACACATGCCAAATAATATAGGTTGAAGCAGATGAAGTTCTAATACTTGAACTTGACCATTTCTGACCTATTAAAATGGTGATTTCTTGTATTTCAAATCAATCATGCAAATGATGTTGTTTCTTTCAAGGAAGCCACAGGAAAAGGCTTTACTCACATTCTAACAATGCTCTTACTAGGCAAAATAATTTCAGGAGGCCGATCTCAGAGACCCTCAAGATGTTTTTTTTTTTAATGATGGAGGTAGAAAGACTTTATCTGTTTTGGGTAAATTTGATATGAAGAAAAATCTGAACATCTTATAAAAAGTTTAATGAATATGGTAATTGTTCAAGCTAGGGAACCCTAGTCTGGGTGTCAACAGTGTGCAAGTTAAAAATGTTAAGTTTTTAAAAAACTTTAAATGTATGTTTGTGGGTGAGTGAAAAATTCCAGCAAGGTTTTAAACATTAACTTTGTTGCTATCTGGAGAATAACTTCTCAGGACACCACTTGTTTGAGAATAAAGGCTCTGGCCTGCTTGTACCCACAAGTCTGTGGGTGCTGTTGTGGACACTGGTGGGTCTGAGCAGCGAGCCTGCGTGCATTTGGCAGTGATGTTCCCTCAATGGCCCCAGGACTCTTGCAACCTGCACCGAGGTTAAACATGCAGGTCTAAGCACAAACCACATCAATGATGGAAATACCAAAACCACTCTGAAATATAAGTGCCATTTGTGCCATTTTGATTTTGAGCATGTTTTTTTTATCAAGAACAGAAAAGAGACTGGAAATTATAAAATATGAAAACATCTGTGTATATCTTCACTGAGGACTGAGACTGTCTTATAGGAGCAGCCGACCCAGTGCCGGAATGATGGAACTGATCATCAAGACCCACGTCTTTACATCAGGACCATGATGATCATCCCAGGAGAGAGAAGGGGCCTGATATGAGTGCGAATCCTGCAGGCTCACAGTGACAGTCTAATTCCTTAAGTGCTTAGTTACCACATCATATGACTGTGCCTTTGTTCATCGCAAAACACAAGAACCACTGGATGGGCGTGCAAACACAGCCCCGAAAGCCACGCATCAATCCCTTTTTCCTTTGTGATATTTTAAAAGCCCATCAGTGGGCTGCTCTTACTTGATATTCATCTAGTGACACCATCATGTTCCTTCAGCTCCACCCTCAAGTTTCAGTCTCCTCCCCAGCCTCACTGTCCACCAGCAGTTGGCGGCCTGACTTCTGGTCTCCTGTTGGAGAAACTCCCTCCTTGCCAGACCCTTTCTTATGGTTAAATAGTGTATTCAAAGAGTTACTGGTAAAATGCTATTGTTAAAGGACAACGTGTTTATCTTGATACATGAGCAAGGGACCTTGGGTTTTAACTGGGTTTGTGTGTCTTATTTTATGCAGATTCCTGATCTTCTGGTGAGAACACATGGGATTTTTGTGCCAGGGCACAGGCCACGCCCTGGCTGAGGGACCCCATGGTACATGGAATGCCATCTCAGTGCCAGCCCTGACCAACAACCTGGCCATCCTGGGACTTGTCATGATCCTCAAAATAGTGTCAGGCAGGCGCTGGGCTTCCCAGGTGGTGTTAGTGGGAAAGAACCCGCTGCCAATGCAAACACAGGAGGCTGGCACAGCAACCCACATTATTCTCTCCTGGGAAATCCCATGGACAGAGGAGCCTCTGTCTACATCCATGGGGCTGCGAAGAGTCGGACCTGACTTAGTGACAAAACACCAAGAACATATGAAACATGCAGAATAAAAACAGAATTAATTTCATTTGGCTAATATAGGTAAGCTATTTGAAAAAAATATCTCCTCACATAATACAGAGTGCCAGCAATGGCACATCATTTGATTGAAAATCTACTGTGAGTTCATTTCATTTCAAAGCTTAAAATATATGCATCCCCAAGTCTAAGGGAAAGTTCTTCATTTAAAAGTAAGTAGAGAGATGGATGTTCGGTACCTGAGTCCCTATCCTGATGAGCCTCTCCAATAGAGCGGCTGCCTTTATAGCAAATACTTTTTGATATAAGATAGTGTCTCTCCAACTTCACACCACCTATTGGCACTTCTGAATTTTTTTTCTGGAGATGTGGTTTTCCTGAGGCATAAACAGGACCCTTCTCAGATTCTCAGACCAGCTATATTCATTCCTTCTCATGCATTAATCCACTGGCTTCTGACATGCATGTGATGTGTGGTTAGTGCCTGGAGCTAGCTGGCATCTAATCCCTGTCGGTTGGTCCAAGGATGCTGGAAAAGCAGAGTACCCACATCCAGGGGGAGAAGATGTCCAATCTCAGTTACACCTCTACTGCATTATTAAGTTATTATCTAACAGATGTTTGAAAGGAATTTAAAAGTTCATCTTTGAAGCCCAAAAGGAGCTCAAGAAGATCACCACTGCATTATTGAGAATGTTCACAGCAACAGAAGGACGAAGGAGTGTCCGTACCAATGCAGAGGGGAGACGGGTAGTTCCAACGCCGCACGGTCCCTGGCATACAGGAGATGTGGGAACGGCCCTGCTCGAGAAAAGATGAAATGAAATTCACTAGCTGAACATGGAGTACTGAAGGCTTCAGTGTTTGCAAGAATATCTGTATTCTCTTTGGTTTTCCCTTTTCATTTAATCACAAATGTAAAAAATACCAAACCCGTGAAATCTATTCTACTAATGTGTATTAATGAATCTCATTTGGAATCAAAATAGAAAAAAAAAACCCCATAATCACTGTACTTCTTGTCACTAAAATAAAAATCTTGTAATGTGCCTTTCAGTGGTCTGTATTTCTGCCAATATGCTTTCCTAATGCTTAAGATGCCGAACTGAATTGACCAAAGTAAGTTTGCTTTTTTTTTAAGTCATCAAAAGTTATCACTTTTGGGCAAATGATTAGGAAATATTAGGTGTTCAATGGTGAAATGTCACTGGTAAGTAATCTGCTTATGCAAAGGTAACTTTCATGGTTGCCTATGGTTCACAAGCAACTCACACAATCTTTATGGTTTAGCAAAAAATTGGGTCAGTTCCTCCTTTATTGGAGAAAAGGGTGACTTAAAATTCATTTTATCATCAGTCTCACAAGCTGTCATATTAATGCTTCTGCAGTGAAATTAATCCTCATCACTCAGGATCTCTTTAGCCTTTAAATATATGAAGTTTTCAACTTTTCAACCTTCAAAAAATTTGTCCTGTTCTTCCTGTTTTAAAAATCAAACAGCAGTGGGTTAAATTCTGTGTTTTGGGTTAAAATTTCTTTTATGATGAAAGAGAAGGTAATGAATGGGCATCCCTGTGTGAAAACTATTCATGTTTACTTTCTTCCTCATTGTGACTTGGTGGGCTTATGTGACACATGTGCTAACCTTGTGTATTTCCATTTGCCAAACAGAATTGGCACAGAGGCAGATGACAAACACATCTTTAACTCATGTTAAATAGTTCCAGCCATGTTGGGAACGCATCAAACAAGAATTTGCACTAAGGCTGTTATCAATGACAAACCAATTCCCCAAGCTTAGGAAGATTTCACACTCGATTTGTCTGCCACAGAACTCATTTACTCCTATTTCCTAACATTCCTAAAAGTTGCTACAGTACAGGAAGACTACATTTATACTTAAAGAAGACACTCAGGACAATGCTTTTCCTGCCAGATTTCATGCTCTGTGTCTTCTCATTCTCTGATCTATTACATTATCTTTAATAAATTTATTCCCAAATTTTGGACAAGCATAAAGTATAAAAGCCTTTAGAGACATTTATGGAAGACTACCAATAAAATGGTTATATATTACCAGCCTAGGGCATATTCCATTATTGATTTCAACAAAGATATTTCATATTAATGATTCCAGCTAAAATTTTTATGCTGGATCCAAAACAAACCAGGAATTTGTGTATTTATTTATTAGCCTAAAATGGGAATTTTCTTTTTCCCATCTTTTAAAAGAAAAGCGAAACAGGTTTAAAGAAAAGGAAATCATTAAGCCTGCAAATATCCAGGATTTATATTTGATGCATCCCGTCTCTGCAGTTTTATCCTGAATCAAACTACACAGATGCAAACTATGCACACATAGACATTTGTGCATAAATCATACAAGGAACAGTGCTTTTCGTGAATACTGTAATTTATGCACACTGCCAGTCCAAATATACTGGTGTGCTAGCAAAATTTCCAATTGTTAGCAATTTTTTGAAAAGTCTAGAATTCTTTTTAACTCATGTGAGTGAGAGAGAGTCACAGCTTGTATACTCAATGCTTGACATTGTTATGAGGGGAAAAAAAAAAAAGAAATCTTAGTTTGCACTTGAAAACCTGAGCCAAGTGGCCTGCCTGGGCTCTACAGATGTGTGCCTGCAGACCTTTATCTACAAGTAGCACATTAAACAATTCATTATAAGACATGTCCTTACTAAATAACCCTTTCTAGTTTCTTCTCTGAGGGCTGGAGAAGTCTCCCTCATAAAAGGATGCTGGCAGTAACTGCAAAGTGCCATCAGAGAAGCGTAGAAAGAAGGTGAGCACAAGGGAGGGAGCCCCAGTTGGAGAAATGGAGGCAACATGGTATTTACATGGTTTATGTAAATTTATGAAGGGCAAAATAAATAAATAAAAACAACCAAAGGCATATTAATAAAAAGGCTTGTCAGTATAGAGTGAGGTGTTCCTCTAAATGAAACCCTTGGGATTGACTCATAATTCTTTTTACTGTAACACATGAAATGGGAGATCTGTCTTAAACAATCAGTTACCACTGCCTTCATGTGCTTGGTTACAAACTTGCTTCCATGGCAGACCTTTCAGCAAAGCTTTTTCAGTAACTGTTCTACTTTCCAAGTGTCTGCCCACCTTTCTCCAGAGCCAAAGCATTACTATAATACCTACCAAGATCTATACATGCAGGTGGTAGGCTATTTGGGTGAAGATGTCTATATACCTTGATGTTTATTTACAATAATAGCAGTGCTGGCTTTCATTTACTGAAGTATCAGGCATTTTGCTGATATTTTCTCAGACTAAGAACCTGGGCTGACTTCTGCACATGGCCCCTGTGGATCTGCTGGCTTCTCTGCCCCTGATTCCTCCCAGGGCCTGGCTCACTTCCCCCTCCCCATCAAAGACGAGCCCCCAGTGTCCACACCATGAGGCTGTGTGAGACTAACACGGGTTTGTACGTGAAGCACTTGACAGGCAGGCCATCAGCTTCCTACAATTGCTATTGCTGCTCTGACTTGTCTCAATAATGCAAAAAATTTACTCCAGCACACATGCAGAAATGGAATCACATACTACACTGTCATTTCACTGCTGTGTCACTGAGACTTCTTTCTGATGATTACTCAAGCTTTATTTAGGTTGGTTACAGAATATGACTAAAAATAATGCTCTTGAAATACTATCAACTTCAGTTTTATAATAAGCAAACAGCAGAAAGTACTCTTTTACTTGAATTAACTGAAACATAGAAACATAAGTAGGCTTAAATATTTCTATTGGACTTAGGAATAAATATACTTGTTTAGATTGCAGTGTCCACTGTTGGTAAGGAGAATTATACATGAATTATGCTAAAGGACAGAGATAAACTATTTTGGGAATACACTTATTTGTGGTTAACTAAGAAAAACAAATGACTGGAAAATGACAAATGTTGCTATACACTGATGTATAAAATGTTTATTAAAACTTTTATACAAAAAACTTTTAGAAAAACCAATAAAAGATTATTAGAAATCTGCTTAATGTTTCTTGAAAATTGTTTAAGTCTATTACTTGAGCCCCATATTTACCTGACACACAAATGGACCCTTGATGATTTACTGAACTAAATCATAACAACAGCTTGCAATGCAGGACCAGCACGGGACTCAGAGCCAGTCCAATAATGGGGTTGCTGGGATGGTGCTATTAACTAGACTGTGTCACTGCTTTGTCCCTGAGAATTGTAACTGTGTGGTTACTGGGAGACTACACGTTTCATTCTGAAATAAAATTATTATGAAAATAATATACTCAACCTTGAAAGGATCCTTTATCATTTAGAAGCTATTTCTGCATCATCACTGAATTTACCTGTATGCACAGTTAATGCAAGAGCTCTGATTCACAAACGGAGTGAGAAACTAAGTTAGGTCTCTCTGCGCATCTTGGGCTTTATCTTAAGTGAGCTGGCTGAGGATCACCATGCTGAGTCCATTATTAAGAACTTCAACAACAAAATGAAATACCTGCAGCGTGTACCCAGGCTCGCATTGGAAGGACAGCACGTCATTCACCATGTATCGGTCTCCAGTTTTGATGCCGTTGCTGGGAAGGGCTGGCTCTTGGCAAGCAGCAAGACCCACAGCTATGAAAACACAAGACACACACTTATAAGCCATGGAGAATAAACAGTGGTCTTATTATTCAAATAGCAAAACAGTGTTTCTCTGCTGCTCTTCTCCTGTAGAAATGAACAAAGATGTTAACTCTCTCTTGTTTACCAAGAAAACTCTAACTTCCAATCAGCTACGAGCTAAATCATAAATACTGGTTTGTTTCACTTTCATCATGTATTGAATCTAGCATTTCTTGAAAGAATAAAATTCTTTCCTTCCACATTTAGCATAAAACACACCAGTCCTAATGCATACACATTTTAAAAGATCTTTCAAGAAACCGCTTCCTAGATGCAAACACCTATGATATGGCTCCTTTGCTTTTTGTTTTTCAAGCATACTGAGAGGTCTTTTTGAAAACCTTTAACTGTGAATTTGGGAATTCTATCCTTCTGGAAAAATATGAGAACAAATATTTTATTATTTATTAAAAAAAATTTTTTTTTAAATTGTAGTGGTTTTTGCCATACATTGACATGAATCAGCCATGGATTTACATGTGTTCCCCATCCTGATCCCCACTCCCGCCTCCCTCCCATTCCCATCCCTCTGGGTCTTCCCAGTGCACCAGTCCTGTGAGAACAGATATTTTATATTCAGTCTATCTCTTTCTCATTTAAAGAGAACAACAACAATTAAGTGGGCACTTTCCTAAATGGAATTGCCTCTAGCTAAGGCACTAACAAAAATGTTTTAACTGCATCATATGATATTGGAATTCAGCTTAGAATATCATACAAATTAACTCTAAGAAACATTTAACATTGACGCTTATTTGTATAAACTCTGTCCTACTTTTTGAAGCGTGATGAGCATGGGATTCTGTAAAAGACACACACTTTGGGCCATACCCCAGAACTACTGACTCAGAATCTGCTTGGTAACACCGTCCCTGGTGATTCTTATGCATTAAAGTCTGAGAACAATTTCAAGCCATGAGACACACAAATTTTGTCTGGGATAAGTGGGTGTGAGGTGTATTATAATATTTTCCTAAGTTGAAATTGATTTTTCCTTAAATGGCTGTATATCAAAAACTATAAAACACCACAGGCATTAAGTGGCAATATTTTTTATTCCTAGCATAATATTTTAAGCCATTTGGGATTTGCATAGATGATAAAATTGCTAAATATGAAAAATATAATCACTTATGCTCTTAATGTTTTTTTAATTTGCATAAGTCTAATTTATCTCCTAGAATGTCAACATTCACTCCTGCCATCTCCTGTTTGACCACTTCCAATTTGACTTGATTCATGGACCTAATATTCCAGGTTTTTATGCAATATTTCTCTTTAAAGCATTGGACCTTGCTTCTATCAGCACTCAGCAGTGGCCACAGGACTGGAAAAGTTCAGTTTTCATTCCAATCCCTAAGAAAGGCAATTCCAAAGAATGCTCAAACTACTGCACAACTACACTTATCTCACACACTAGTAAACTAGTGGTCAAAATTCTCCAAGCCAGGCTTCAGCAATATGTGAACCGTGAACTTCAAGATGTTCAAGCTGGTTTTAGAAAAGGCAGAGGAACCAGAGTCAAATTGCCAATATCTGCTGGATCATTGGAAAAGCAAGAGAGTTCCAGAAAAACATCTATTTCTGCTTTATTGACTAGGCCAAAGCCTTCGACTATGTGGATCACAATAAACTGTGGAAAATTCTGAGAGATGGGAATACCAGGCCACCTGACCTGCTTCTTGAGAAACCTGTCTGCAGGTCAGGAAGCAACAGTTAGAACTGGACATGGAACAACAGACTAGTTCCAAACAGGAAAAGGAGTATGTCAAGGCTGTATATTGTCACCCTGCTTATTTAACTTATATGCAGAGTACATCATGAGAAATGCTGGGCTGAAAGAAGCACAAGCTGGAATCAAGATTGCCAGGAGAAAATATCAATAACCTCAGATATGCAGATGACAGCACCCTTATGGCAGAAAGTGAAGAGGAACTAAAAAGCCTCTTGATGAAAGTGAAAGAGGAGAGTGAAAAAGTTGGCTTAAAGCTTAACATTCAGAAAACTAAGATCATGACATCTGGTCTCATCACCTCATGGGAAATAGATGGGGAGACAGTGGATTCACTGTCAGACTTTATTTTTTGGGCTCCAAAATCACTGCAGATGGTGACTGCAGCCATGAAATTAAAAGATGCTTACTCCTTGGAAGGAAAGTTATGACCAACCTAGATAGCATATTCAGAGAAGGCAATGACACCCCACTCCAGTACTCTTGCCTAGAAAATCCCATGGATGGAGGAGCCTGGTAGGCTGCAGTCCATGGGGTCGCTAAGAGTCGGACATGACTGAGCGACTTCACTTTCACTTTTCACTTTTATGCATTGGAGAAGGAAATGGCAACCCACTCCAGTGTTCTTGCCTGGAGAATCCCAGGGATGGGGTCGCACAGAGGCAGACACGACTGAAGTGACTTCGCAGTAGCAGATAGCATAGTAAAAAGCGAGACATTACTTTGCCAAAAAAGGTCTGTCTGGTCGAGGCTATGGTTTTTCCAGTGGTCATGTAGGGATGTGAGAGTTGGACTGTGAAGAAAGCTGAGTGCCAAAAAATTGATGCTTTTGAACTGTGGTGTTGGAGAAGACTCTTGAGAGTCCCTTGGACTGCAAGGAGATCCAACCAGTCCATCCTAAAGGAGACCAGTCCTGGGTATTCATTGGAAGGACTGATGCTGAAGCTGAAACTCCAACACTATGGCCACCTCACGCGAAGAGCTGACTCGTTGGAAAAGACCCTGATGCTGGGAGTGATTGGGGGCAGGAGGAGAAGGGGACGACAGATGGCTGGATGGCATCACCGACTCGATGGGCATGAGTTTGAGTAAACTCCAGGAGTTAATGACGGACAGGGAGGCCTGGCGTGCTGCGATTCATGCAGTTGCAAAGAGTTGGACACGACTGAGCAACTGAACTGAACTGAACTGAAATTATCTCCCTCTCTTTTGTAACTTTAGAACATAAAACGCAACTATTCAGTATATTTAAATTTCACCTTTTTTCTTCCTATTACATATAGGCATGAACTCCTATTGTATGCCATTTATTTTTTATTTGACCCTTAATAGATATTTAAATTAACCTTGGTATAAAATTTCTAACCATAATTTGACATATGAAAAAGATATTTATGATTCTGAAAACACATGATAAATATGCATTTATTTTTGCCTAGTATTTAGAGCACAGAAGAACTATACAAAATCTGCAGAGGAACTATACAAAAAAGATCGTCATGACTCAGACAACCATGATGCTGTGATCACTCATTTAGAGCCAGGCATCCTGGAATGTGAAGTCAAGTGGGCCTTAGAAATTATCCCTATGAACAAAGCTAGTGGAGGTGATGGAATTCCAGTTGAGCTATTTCAAATCCTAAAAGATGATGCTGTGAAATTGTGCACTCAATATACCAGCAAATTTGGAAAACTCAGCAGTGGCCACAAGACTGGAAAAGCTCAGTTTTCATTCCAACCCAAAGAAAGACAATGTCAAAGAATGCTCAAACTACTGCACAATTGCACTCATCTCAAACACTAACAAAGTTAATGTTCAAAATCCTCCAAGCTAGGCCTCAACAGTATGTGAACCATGAACTTCCAGATGTTCAAAGGGGATTTAGAAAAGGAAGAGACACCAGATATTGAATTGCCAACATCCAATGTATCAACAAAAAAGCAAGAGAGTTTCAGAAAAACATTGACTTCTGCTTTATTGACTATGTCAAAGCCTCTGCCAGTGTGGATCACAACAAACTGTGGAAAATTCTTAAAGAGATGGGAATACCAGACAACCTCACCCACCTCCTGAGAAATCTGTATGCATGTCAGGAAGCAACAGTTATAACTGGACATTGAAAAGCAGACTGGTTCCAAACTAGGAAAGGATCATGTCAAGGCTGTATATTGTCACCCTGCTTATTTAATGTATATGCAGAGTACATCATGTGAAATTCTGGGCTGGATAGATGAAGCACAAGCTGGAACCAAGATTGCTGGGAGAAATATCAATAACCTCAGATATGCAGAGGACACCACCCTTATGGCAGAAAGTGAGGAATGAACTAAAGAGCCTCTTGATGAAAGTGAAAGAGGAGAGTGAAAAAGGTGTTTTAAAACTCAAATTCAAAATAAAAGGAATCCAGATTGGAAAAGAAGTAAAACTCTCAGGGTTTGCAGATGACATGATCCTCTACATAGAAAACACTAAAGACATAATCAGAAAATTATTAGCACTAATAAATGAATATAGTAAAGTTGCAGGATATGAAATTAGCACACAGAAATCCCTTGCATTCCTATACACTAACAATGAGAAAACAGAAATTAAGGAAACAATTACATTCACCACTGTGACGAAAAGAATAAAATACTTAGGAATAAATCTACCTAAAGAAACAAAAGACTTATATATAGAAAACTATAAAACACTGATGAAAGAATTTAAAGATGACACAAGTAGATGGAGAAATATACCATGTTCATGGATCAGAAGAATCAATACAGTGAAAATGAGTATACTACCCAAAGGAATCTATAGATTCAATGCAATCCCTATCAAGCTACCAACGGTATTTTTCAGAGAACTAGAACAAATAATTTCACAATTTGTATGGAGTTACAAAAAAAACTTGAATATCCAAAGCAATCTTGAGAAAGAAGAATGAAAGTGGAGGAATCAACCTGCCTGACTTCAGACTATACTACAAAGCTACAGTAATCAAGACAGTATGATACTGGCACAAAGACAGAAATATAGATCAGTGGAACAAAATAGGAAGTCCAGAGATAAACCCACACACCTATGGACACCTTATCTTTGACAAAGGAGGCAAGAATATACAATGGAGAAAAGAATCTCTTTAACAAGTGGTGCTGGCAAAACTGGTCAACCACTTGAAAAGGAATGCAAATAGAACACTTTCTAACATCATACACAAAAATAAATTCAAAA